GGCTATAGAGGGGGGAGGGGGAGGGGAGAGGTGACCCTCTGCAAAGTGTGGCTTGCTAGGGAACCTTCCTGCCTGTGATATTCTTTTTTTTTGGGGGGGGGTGCGGCTCAGCCCACTGTGAAGGCAGGGCTGGCACAGCATGTGGTGCTGGGGATTCAGCCCTGCTTCTCTGCTCCTGCCTAAGCTTGACTAAGCAGACGCTTTAGACCGCTGAGCTATCTCACTGGCCCAATGGTGAGATTCTTAGGGATTCTCTAACAAGGCCTTGGGGCCTCTTCTCTAAGGGAAAGCTGTGTCTGCTGTTGGAAACAGGGCCAGCTTCCTACTTCTTCTGGTTATTTCTTTTTAATCTTTTATTTATTCGGTACAGGGTCTCACTAGGAAGCTCAGACTCCAGTGATCCCCCTGTCTCAGCCTCCCCAGCGCTGGTATAGGCATGCACCACCACACCCAGTTTTCTTCCGGTTGTTTCTAAAGTGATGGTTTAGAGGAGCCACTAAATGTCCAGGAGGAGAGGGACCTGAGATGGAGCATTTTACATTCTCCGAGCCACTTAGACCTACTTTGTCCTTTTACTAGACGGCCTTAATGGCTACATTTAAAGAACCATCTTGGGGGGTGGGAAGGCAGACTGCCATTAGCTCAGTTGTTTAAGAGCCTGCTTAAGAAAAACAGTCAGGCTCAGGATTCTGTGGTTCCATCCCCAGATCCTCAGCCCTTACCAGACCTGCCCTTAAGGAATCCTGAGCCAGCCAAAAAAAAAGTCCTTCTGAACTTTTGGGGCTGGGGTGATAACTCAGTACAGTAAGCGTTTGCCTGGCAAGCACAAGGGCCTGAGTTCAACCCCCAGTTACACACACACACACACACACACACACACACTCACACATACACACGCAGAACCATCTTCCTCTTCATCCTGACACCACCCCACATATAAGCTATGTGATAAAGGAACAATACAATCAGTGTTTGAAATTTTTAAAGTTTATTATAACAAAAGACACATTGCCGTTGATCTCCTTCCAAGGATCCCCCTCACTCTGAGCACATTTCCCCACCATTCTTGCCACTTTCAGAAGCAGTTGTAAAGTGCTCTTTCCTGAGTGTCTTTGTACAGCAAGTGCTAACCCCAGAGTGAGCTCTGTTCCAGGAGAACTGTTTGTGAGTCTGATTCATTCCTATGAATGAATGAAGAAACAAAGCGAGTCTTACGCAGCACACCTGTGGAAGTTCACAACTTGAGTGTTCATAGGTGGGGACCTGCTGTACTGTCCTGGCTGCCCCAGTGTCTTCAGTCGATTCAGAACATGTGCTGTTCATGGTCATTTTGACTTTGGAGAGAGACGGGAGCTGCAGAGAGTGCTGGATCCAGCGAGGGAGGTGGATGAGGACACAGCACAGTCATTTTCTAAGCCAGATGCTTTATTGGATGGCACTGGGCACTAGTATTCACCACACTGTGATCATGCCTTGTAAAGACCCTCACCGCATAAGACTTCCAGAACTGCTTTGGAAAGTGGCATGAACACTGGCATAAGTAAGTTTGAAGGGTGGAGGGGTTCAGAGATTCATGGCAATGCATCTTTCACTGTAATTGATTATTTTAAACATTTATGGTATGTTTCATCACATTTCACATACACACACACACACACACACACACACACACAAACACACACTTCTCTCTTGCCCCCCAGCAACTTAAACTCCATCCAGGCTTACCCAACCAAAAGCTCTGGAGATTGCCTGATTCCAAGGAAGACTTATTAAAACATAAATTCAGAGCCTTGGCCCAGAGACCATCTTCAGTGATTCTTCAGTGGGGCTGAGAAATCCATTTGTGCCAAACGCCAGCCGGCGCTGGTGCTGCAGGTCCAGCAAGGAGCTTGGGTGCACACGGCTTCCGAACCACCAGCCTGCAGGGCACAAATACATAACTGAGGCCCTAATCAGTGACTGTAAACCTGATGTGGCATGTATGCTGGAGATTCGCCAGGGGAAGCAGAAAGGGAACAGAAATTCTGCCCTAGGAGTCCAGCTTCTGAGAGGCGAGGCCTGGAAAAAAAGCCCTTCATCACCATCTCTGTTCTGTGATATTTCCCTTCTCCCATTTCTGGCCCTGACCACTAAAACACTGGTAGGTGGCTTTTGATGGAGACCTGCGAATGTTTTCCCACAAGCCTTACAAAAATGATGGTGATACTGAGATTCCACCTTAGCCAGGAAGAATGGCCGTCATCAAGAAATCAAGCAGGTTAAATGTTTTTCATCATATTCTGTAGGGACTTAAAGTTCAACATGTCAAAACTTGAGGAAAAATACCTGTTCCATGTTAAGCCTAAGATGTTTGATATTCAGACAGATAGTGAGGTTAAGCTTAACAGCCTAGGTTGTATGGTAGTAACAATAAGCTTCTCTTCTGGGGGGTTAACAACCTAAGTTTACAGACCAAAAATTAGAAAAAAAGGAGGGCTGCAAGGAAAGCCAACATTTTGGCCCTAGCCTTCTAAGGTCAATTAAGACTCAGGACATATGAGAACGTGTACTATAACGTCATGTAACTCAGAAGTGTCCCAAATTTTCTGATCAAGGAGATTATGGGGCCAAAGAGGAAAGTGATCGATGATGTAGAGTGTGCCTAAGGAGAGTCACATGGAGAGAAAACATTCTCTCAGGCTTTCACAGGGAGCAAATTGGCCAAGCAATGGCCGTGACTCATCCACATGACTGACACTGACAAAGGATCTACAATCTGAGGTACAGGATCTCAGGATAAATCCTGAGGGGATTTCACTGACCTTATCAGACCCAAAAGCTACAACTCTTGATGCATAGGTCTTGCTTTATCTTGGTCTTAACCATCCAGCAGAAAAGTATAAAAACGAAGTATAAAAAGTAAAGCCATGCTGTTATGTTGAGCTGTGGGGGACTCAGGTCAATGATTTCTGACATTGCCAGTGAAGTGGAAGACCCAATTCTATTATGGACTACTGGATTCTTTTAGAATATTTTGCTAAGTTAACAGATGTATAATATTCAAATGATGAACTAAACAAAAAAGGGGATATATAAATGAATGCCTATTTTGTATCTGTGTATTCAAAATGGTTACGATAGACACATAGTTACATTCTCTTAATGAATAGAGGGGTTTGTTGTAATAGTTTGTAAACAGGATATCATGTCTGCATCTTGTACAGCAAATAACCACTAGGAAGACTGTATGCAATGTGTTAATTATTGAAGCTATCCTGCCAATTTGATTTGAAACTGTCTCATTGCTATTTGTCTCTCAATAAAATTATAGGGGGAAAAAAAAGAAAAAAGAAATCAAGCAGGGCTGGCCAAATAGCTCAGCAGATTAAAGTGCCTGTAAGCAGGTGCAGGGACTGGGGGTTCAATCCCCAGGCCTGCCATGCCGGTCCCACCCCCAGGGCACACTGAGAGGGCAACTGAGACTGGGTGTGGTGGCACATTCCTGTAATCCCAGCTATTGGGAGGCTATAAACAGGCGGATTGCTATGTGTTCGATCTAGTAGTGAGACTCTGTGCACCCTGTAGACCCTTCCCTAAAATTAAAAAAAAAAGAAAAAAAAAAGAAAGAAATCAAACAGTAGCAAATCCTGGTGAGGCTGGGGGTGGGGGCGGAACCCTTCTACACTGTTGGTGGGAGTGTACACTAATCCAACCACTGTGGAAGTCAGAATGGAGCTGCCACAAAAGCCTGAAACTAGAAATTCCATGTGACCCAGCTGCTGCCCTTCCAAGTGTCTTCCCCAAAGAGTTAAAGAGGTAGTATGACAGTGATCCATGCCTGCCCATGTTTCTAGCAGCACAACACGTAATAGTTAAATCTTGGAAGTAGCTTGTGTCCATTAATGGAAGAATAAGTGAAGAAAGTGTTGTATTTGTGGTGGAGTGCTACTTTTCCAGAAAGAAAGATAAATTAGATTTTAAAGAAAAGTGGATGCACCTTGAGACCATAATGTTAAATGAAATGAATCAGACACACAAGCCTTAGTATTACATGGTTTCTTACATAAGAAAGACTCAGCGTAAAAATAAAGAGCAAAATAAAAGATAACAGGAAGAAAAAAAAAAAAGATAACAGGAAGTAAAGGGATAAACCTTATTCAAACCAGACATGAATGAAGAGATGAAGGGACAGGTTCAACAAAAAAGAACTAGGAAGTGTTAGGTACATATCAACTCCGCCGAAAAAAGGAAACATTACATACTGCATACATGGACTAATAAACTAAAATAAAATTCAAACAAACTTTAAAAACAATAGTGCTGGAACTAGTGCTATAGAAAGACAAAGAGAAGGACATCTCAGGAAAGGCCAGGATCAGAAGATGAGGCCCGCCGCACCTGAAGCAGTGCCCTTGCCTAAGAGGATGAGGCTGCCTCTCTTAACTCGGGTCCTCTCTGCAGCCCATGTAGTCCCGCTGTCTCACTTCAGCAGGATCCCTGCTTAGATTCTATCTTTCTCCTAAGTTCCTGGTGCTGGATCAGCTGCTGGCCTAGGGATCCAGCTCTAGAGGTGCCTTGTGTGCATCTAAAATGTCAGGCAGGGCCGGGGAAATAGCTCAGTGGAATAAGCACTTGCCTGGCAAGCTCAAGGACCTGAGTTCAATCCCCAGTTCCGCAAAAAAATAAAATAAAATAAAATAAAATGTCAGGCGTCATCCAGGAGTGGTGGTGCTCGCCTGTAACCTCACCACTCTGGGAGGCTGAGGCGGAGGATCACAAGTTCAAGTTTAGCCTGGAGTAGTACTCTGCCATAAAGGATAAATGAAGTTTTTGTGGGAAAAATGAATGAACTTTGAGCTTGATATAAGCAGTCCCTTAGCACTTAGTGAACTCCTGTCTCAAAATAAGGGGCTAAGGATGTAGCTCAAGGTGAAGCCATGTCTCACGGTGTTTTTCTCTCTCTTCTCTCCTCTGACTGCATCCTGCGTGTGTCATTGTCCTCTGTCTCACCCCGCCCTCAGTGCATTCCCAGAAGCAGAACAGACAGACCTGTGTCCGAAAGAGCCTCATATGCGCCTTCGCCATGGCCTTCATCATAAGCGTGATGCTGATCGCAGCCAATCAGATCCTGCGGAGTGGCATGGAGTAGCCCCCGCCTCCGGCCGGCTGCGCTGTTTGCAGCTCACCGCGCATGTGCATGGCCTTCGGGCGACTGTCCCTCCTCGCAGCAGCTCTGGACCTAGGGACAGATGCAGACCTGGTACAGCTCAGCAAAGAACCCAAAGCTGCAGTGCAGCCGGGATTGCGCAACTCAACTTCATCTCCTTGGCAGGGACACCAAAGGGCTGTCTTCAACGCTTTAATGGTTTTGTTTCCTAATGCAATAAATAGCCGGGAGTTCTGAATTTTCGCTTCATCTGCCAGTAGTAACTTTGAAGAAGAACTTCATTTTCATCTCAGAATTCCAGTGGCCATCCAGGGGTAACGGTGGTCTTCTCCGAGAGCGTGCGAAAGAGAGGCGTGAACAACATTCACCTCCATCCACGCGCCATTCTTCAACCCAGGGGTCCACAGAGACTCCGCACTGAACTGGACCCTCAGGTCCTACAGGACGTACAGGCTGGCTTCTGGGTTGCGACAGAAGAGGGGACTGTCCACCTCACCCTGGCTTCCTTCCTCCACCCAGAGGAGGACCCCTCCCTCCCAGGCATGAGGGGAAAGCCATTAAGCGGGGTGCAGACCCTGGCTGTCTGCAGCTGCACCCCATCGCTTCCGTTCTTACTGCCTTTTCTACAGGATTCTTGTAGGTAGAGTTGGGGCGCTCTCGGTCGGTTCCTGTGGCACTTGGCTTTCTTTTCCTCGAGCCCATCCCGCACCAGCATTTTGGGAATCTGCGAAGAGCCTCCCTCTCAGCTTTGCCCCCTGTGCTGCCATTTGAGAGAAAAGAACCACGGGCGTCTTCTAGCAGAGATACATGGACAGAGAGACCTGGCTTCTCCATACGTGACATTTTCTCCTCTAACCACTCCCTCTGGATCAAAGCTTGTCCTTCCTCCTACACCCATCATCCCTGCTTCTTCAGGGCAGAGGGTGAGGCAGACTGGAAGCAAGGAGAGGGCTGAGATGGAGGTGAGGAGGTGTTGACAGCCCACACCCCAGGCATCCAGAAGCCTGGAGCCTGGCAATCCATGCTCTACGAGCTCTATAAATTAAGGTACACGTGCATCTCACCCTTCCCTCGCCCTGTAGACTGCTTTGTGAGTTAGTCTTCCCCAGCTCAATAGAGAACCGCACTCCAAAGCAGAAAAATGGAAAGATCAAACTACTGTTTTACATCGCCTCTGGCATTCAGATTCTGCAACTGACTCATAAGAAAAAGATGTTAATGAGCTTAGCCAATGTGACAGGCCGTTTACCTGCAGGACACTTCTGCTGGGGAAGGGAACTGAATCCAGTAGTCCATTGTTTTCAAACCCCACCGAGTCTCTCATTTCCTGGTACCATTCCAGCCCCTTCTATTAATTCCAGCTTACATAGTCAGGTTAGCCAGTACTCTCTAGCCGTGCTAGTCCCCTTTGTACTTTTCTGAGCTCAGGTCTTTATTTCTGTAATGGAATGATCTCACTCCCCTTTCTTTCAATTGTACCCTAAAGCTACAGGCTTCTTTAACCTTCCTCTCCTTTCTGTCAGTGTTGAGGATAGGGTCTTTCCTCGCAGTGCAGTGGGTCCGTTTGATGGTGCAGTGTGTGACACCTACCCTGTCCTCAGCCCCGCTTCCCTCCTTGCTTCTCCATTCCTGCTTTTTTAGGTGTGGAGCACTGCAGTCTCCACTTAGGGTCTTCATTCAATTCGTCTCTCCAAGCCATCCCCACAGCGCAGTGTGGGGACAGCCGTAGAAACTTTCCCAGAGTGGGAAACTGCAAATATTTAAGATGAGCACAAGTTAAACTAGGGTTTGAGCCATAGTATAGAAATGGAGCTTATCTAAGTTCCCAAGAGTCCAGGGGGTGGACAGTTCCTCTGCAAAGCACCTGAAGTCTAGTATATCCAGGCCAGGCCAAGGAAGGCAGCAGCCCTGCCCCACCACTGTTCCCACTGCAGGCCTCCCTTTCCTGTTTCTCCTTGGCGGAGTCTCCATAGTTCCCCTAGAATCAGAATCTTAGCCTAGATGCTGAGTACTCACCCATTAAATGACTTCCTCTTTAGTTTCTCTTCAGGGCATTTTGTCACCCCTGCTGCATGTAGGGGAGGACACAGCAAATCCTGAAGGGAAATGTGTCCCTACCTATTGCTGACCCTTGACCCTCTAAGCCAAGGTGGGAGAGCCCCAGTAGACTGTAGATGCCCAGAGACAAGTCTTAAAGGACCCCTTCTCCCTGAGAGGGACTGAGACTGCCTATTAAGGCAGAAAATCAACCTTTCAAAGGCCCCTTTTTTGCAATCCCTCTGCCTCCCACTGGAGATGTTGACCCCAAAGGGTGTGAGTAGATTTCTTCAGCAGTGAGATGAGCCGCGGCGCAAGGGTGGGGATTAGGAGGAATTCTAGAAGGGCACCAGCAGCCTGTTCTGTATCAACATGAGCTTCCTTTTCCTTAAAAGGATCCCTTTTCTCTCTCCCAGTGACCTGAAAAATCAGGCTGGGAGCAGATCCAGGAGAACACATCCTGGTGGATGTTTCTAGGGAGACAGAGCGTAGTGGAAGCCATGGCCTTTTCTCTGGTGTCCTAGAAGTTACCCTCCTTCCACGGTAACCTCGCATGAGGCACCCAAGGGCTGAAAGGGACTGTGGAGACAGCCTAAGCTAAAGACATTCCAGACTCTGGGGCTAGCTTGTAGCTGCAACGACTCATACCCTAGCTGCCATGCTTGCTTCTGAGATGTAGCTGTCTTAGATGTAGCCAGAGTCAGGCAGCCCCATTCCCTGTTCACACAAATGTCACTCTGGATCTCTCCACAAGTCAGCATGTTTGTCACGGTGACTAGGGGGCTCGGAGATCAAAGCTCCAGGAGGTGCTGGTCCCGCATGACCAAGGCAAGGCACAAGGCTGCAGCTGGAGGTGACCTCTGTGGGAAATGGGAGAAAGACAGACACCTAACCTTCCCTGTCCTGCCAGTGACCAGACTTTGGGTCATTCGGTAGGGCTGGCAGCCACCAGGTGGCTGATGAACTGGCACAGCAAGCTGAGCTCGTTCTTGTTGCAAGAGCAGGTGTTCCCCTCCCCCTTCCCGCAGACCACACCAAGGATGATCAGGAAGATGTTTTATTTGGGAGAAAAGGAAAAACAGATCCTGCTTCTCTTAAACCCTAAAAAAAAATTCTGTCTCCTACCAGTCCAGATGCAGACAGAGCCCCCCATTTAAGACCAAGCATTAAAAGTATTAGCGCTGGCTTCCAGAATGTGCGTGGGTCCCACGTGACCCATCTGTAAGAAGAAGGAGGAAAAAATATGTCACCATGGCAACCATTGCATTCCACCCTGAGTTTGCCAAGGCACACAAAAATAGGGAACGTTTTCCTAAAGAACACTCGGGTTCTGGCTCATTGCAGCCTGACTTCCTGCATCCCTCTCCTGCCGGGAGAGGAAATCATCCTCTGAGATTCTGGGTGACTTCTCCACCCTTTCCTTTTGTGCTGGAACCTGTCCTTCCATTTCCCAGGAGAAAAAGCTACCGGTAAGCCTGGTAGCAGTGGTCTTCCTACCCCAGCCCTCCACCCCACCTTCTGGAGCAAAAATCCCCAAATCTAAGCAAAAAGGTCGAAAATAAAATCATCTGTAAGGTAAAAAGTATTTTAAGCTTCCAATCTTTAAAAGCATCTGCTTGTCCATTGAGAAGCTAGAAGCGTGACCTGACGTGAACTGAGGTTTCCCTGTGGTCTTAGGGAAGCACAGTAGTTGCAGAAGTTTCTTTTCAGGTGTTTTAGTAGCCCAGAGTAAGATGCGCACTTCGATTCTTCTGTCTCTATCCGTGCTTCTGCCTCAGATTTCACAGGACAGGCGCCCCCCTTCCTTGTGGGTATCCAAAGGAACTCAATGAGAGATGGCCAGCTCAACAATTCATTTTGACAAAAATGCTCCACCCCCATCCCTCAGCCACTTGCTGGTAGGGTGAGAGACACAAGTGAAGGATCTAAGATCTATCTCTTAGGCTTAAGTCCAGACTCAGGTCAGAAATCAAAGAGTTTTGCACATTGTTCTTAAGCAGAAACTAGCAGCACTGTGGAGGGAGCCACAAGGAGGGCACAGACAAGAGGAGTGTGAGCACTCCCTGAGTTGGGCTGGGCTGGCCTCTGCGGCTACATGCCTAGCATCTCTGTCTGCTCTGTCCTTGGTCACTATCCTTGCAGAGGCTGCTGAGCTTGACTCCTCCCTGGATGCCTCAAACAATACTGGGTCATTTTGTTGCACTGACGGGTGCTCCCAAGGCCCATGATAGCTGTATTATTTTACCCTGAGGGAAGTGGTCTTTTTTTGATCTCATGCCATGATGATGCAAATGAACTGAGATTAAGCTTTGGGATTTTGGCACATGCTGAGCTTATGGCTAGGAGGATTGCAGAACGACATTCCCTGGAGAACATCTGTCTGAAACAACCTTTCTCATTGGCCCCTTCAGTGATGTCCGTGAGGCCAAGAGTCAGCGCTCTAAAGGCCTTACTATTGCCATCCTCCCTCACAGCTGTCTGCCCGACTCCCCTGAAGGAGAAGATGTATCATAAATAGACAAGAAGCATTATTCAGCAGCTAGGGTTTTCAATTTGAATTAGTTATAGTGATGGAAAAATAGAAGAGGATTTGGACTGCCTCTTATGGACCCTGTCTTCATGATAATTTAAATGTCAGAACTGTTCAGTTTTACTTTGCTCTGATATAGTCATTCAGGGGACTGTCCTCGGTGGTGTGGCCTTGCCAGAGACCGGTGGTTTGGAAGACGAAGGTCAGGTGCACCAACCAGCTAAGGATTTCTCTTAGTATCCTACACTCATTATAGATGCACATTTTAATAGTGATGGTTTCTACTTAATATTGGTTTGAGACTCACTTCATATGGCCCCAAGGGATATAAGCCAATGCTCAAAAAGTCTTCAAGACAAAATTAATTTGGATTAGTTGGCTTGAGATATGCCACCAAGAATCAGGTTTTTCCAGC